CCCCCGTGCACTCCCCATCCCTCAATCTATGGGGGCTTCATTCATTCCAATTGGCTATGTTAAAAAACTTATTTCCCAGCTGGTAAGTTGCTAGGCTTTGTTTGTATGGTTTCTGTCAAAGGGGTAATGCAGATACGAACTGGCACAGTTCCAATGAAACAACAGGGATGTTATTTTGCCATTGTTTAATCAACACATTGCACTCACTTCCTGTGATAAAATCTGTGCGTGAATCCTGAACAACTGAAATTTGCATCATCGTCTTCAAGTCCCCTTTTCAAAAGTAAAGGTTTGGAACCATTGCTAGGAATATTTCTGTCAAATTCCAATGAAGAAGTAATAAAACTTTACACTTAAGATATAAACTTATGAATTGAAGCTCAGCAACTACTTGAAACTCTTCTGTTGCTGTCTATATCTGTGGCAAACCATTCTTGAAAGAGGCCTTTTTAATTTCTTAGGTCTTGTTTAACGTTCTTGAGAACGACTACTTGAACCGTAGAGAAAGATAATTTGTAAGTTAGTAAGTAACTGTCCCGATATCATGAAGGTCTCCTCAGAGATCCACATTCTTTGTAATTTCTCCCTTTTCTTGAACTTGCATCCTTCATTGATGTTGAATACTGTTCAAGCAGCAGAAAATACCCTTGTATTTCTAAGCTTATGTTTTCAACTATTTTCTCTCTTACCCCACAGACAGATGATCGTTTGGTGTCTACAGATGGCTTTATGCTCAACTTCTTATGGGTACTACAGCAACTAAGTATGAAGATAAAGCTGGAAACGGTTGATCCCATGTACATATTTCATCCCAGGTGTCGTATTGACCTCCCAACAGATGAGACAAGAGTGAAAGCAACAATGGAGGATGTTACAGCCTGGATTGCTGAACTTTGTGAGTACTTTTAATTGAGATATGTTAAGCATTTACTCTGCCTTCTCGATACAGGAGGTACATAGAAATACTTGATTCCGGAAAATAATTTCCCTATTCCTAAATGTTTTTTCTTGATGCTGTCTGCTCTTACGTGTTTTAAAGTTGAGTTTAAGGTCTCACCCCTAGATAAGGCAGTTAAGTTAAATTTATTCACCTATACGCTTTCTTGTTTCTTTGTTTTCTAGACAGGGATCCGTCTCCATTTTCTGAGCCGAAATTCCCAACAGAATGTTTCTTCCTAACCCTGCATGCCCATCATCTCTCAATCCTGCCAAGCTGCCGTCGGTACATACGTAGACTGCGGGCCATCAGGGAACTCAACAGGTTAGAAGTTGTTAATTATCTAGAGCATCTGAGTCCTAGCAATATCGTCTTCTCACCATGATGGAAAGTCCTATAAACTTAGTGGAAATTAGAATAATTTGGGTAAAACTGTTGCTGAGTACAGAGCATCATAACTATTTGGTGATCTGCTGCTTTTGGCCCTTATGGATTTTTGCTTATGTTCAGGAACTGTGGCTTGAATCAAGAATTCAGATAATAGTGGGATGGAGGATACTGGTTCCACAAGGCAACTCAAATTGGTGACAAGACCATTCTATTTAAAAGATAATTGAATTGTTTTCAGAGTATTTTAAGATTGTCATGACATTACTTAACACTTTTTATTGTAACTTAATCTGTGATGTGGCTGATGGTGTGTGGATGTTGGTGCCTCGGTCTCTTTGACATAGCTGTAGGAGTGCATATAAAGTTACTTGTCTGATAATCAAGTCATTGTAAACAGCTTGTGATTTCAGATACAAGACATTGTTAGTTGTGCCTGAGCTGTTCTGTATCGTTTCAGAAGATATTTACCTCAATCCCCTTGGATTCTGAGGCGGGGTAACTTGTCATACTCTCGGGGCAGGGGGTAGGGAAGCCTTCGCAGTAAACTCTTACATGTTGATGTACATGTAATTCAGCATGTGGTTTACCATTTTAAAAATTATAAATAAAAGTCATAATGTTGACATGAAGATACTCCTGTTTTCCACTTCTCTTGGCATAAATTCAAATAGACTTTTATAGCTGCTAAACCTCGAAGAATACTCTGTTAAAATTAGAACAGATTTTTATATCATCAGTATTTTCCATTGTTTATAATTGCACTCATTGCATTTTGGTAAATGTTCCTTGGCAGTAATACCATGAGTTCATTACAGGATTTTTGGACTGTGTTCGTAATGATTTCATTTTTAGTTTTTAAAACACACGTAGGCCAAGAACCTGGGAAGCTGCAGAAAGTGGAATGTGAAGAATCAATATATCTTAAAGATAAAATGTATTTTCCTATAAAACAGCCTGTGGATTACTTGTAAATAAGCCATACATTTGGCTTGAAAGGGAATTGCTGCTTTTTTCCTTATTTAGAATTGTTGCGAAGCAGTTGCTTATGCAGCAATCTCCATCTAACGGTGCAGAGTGAAGAGCTCTTGGCTTTTGCTGACATCAGTAGGAGCTTAGTGTTCAGCATTTTTGGTGAATTGCTTAGTTGCTTGCAGCACTGGGCACTGTAATTAGATGTTGGTAATGAAGAAATTAGGGTATTTTTCTGCTGTAGGCAGAGATTGACATGGAAAAGAATTTGTGTTTAGAGGAGGGATGAAAAGGAACCATATTCATATAGGTCAGTAGATTGAGTTTTATTCTAATCAGCTGTCCTTTCTAAAAAGGATTAAGATATGGGAATACATAGGACTTTTAAAATGTAAATGGTGTGTGTAATGTACATTTAAGTTCTCTCTTCTGTGGGGCAGAGTGAGAAGATGGGTAAGGGAGGGGAGCTAATACCAGCCACCTTGATTTTTTTTTGCTGACAGGGAGACTGTAGACTACTGATGGTTTGTACTCCTCTGCAAGCCTGAATTTTAAATTTTATGGGGAGTGGAGCATGAGAAGGGTAGAACAAAACTGCAAAAATTCATTTACGATAGCAGAAAGTGGGAAGACACACAGGATGCAGACTTGTACCGTTCTTGGGAGAAGGAAGGTGTTTTTAACAAGTCCTGTTGTCACTCACCTTTTTCTTCCTTAGCTGATAATGTTTTCCAATTTCCTTTCTGATACTAGAAAATGAATGAGATCTCTAAATATCTCATCATTAACTGGACCAACCCTTTGTGTTGGGTTAATTTTAATGACATTCTTTTAACCTTCCTTTAGAATGACTGTAGGGTTCAGTGTGAAATAAGAAAAAAGATAAATACTTTCTTTTTTTAATACAGTAGATAAAATTAGCTTGTCAGGCAGGACAGATCCCTTCTGTGTTTCATCTCTCCCCCCCCTTTTTTTTTCCTCCACTGTTCTGATTTGCCTGACAGGCATGTGTGTTGGAGCTAGTGTATGTACTGCCTTTGGATGCACACTGTGCAGATCTTCAGTCTGCATTTAGAAAAGCAATTTAGTTTTCTTGTTATGATGATAGGTAACTTCTGTGAAAATTATTAGTGCTTTTCCCTACTTTTCTTCTCAGCGTTTCCTCAGTATTTAGCAGATCAGTAGGTTAAATACCTTGTAGACGGCAGTATGTATCCCCTCTCTCATGATAACCAATTATTACATCTGGTTTTCAGGACTGTTGAAGATCTGAAAAACAATGAAAGTCAGTGGAAGGATTCACCTCTGGCTACCAGGCATCGAGAAATGCTGAAACGTTGCAAGACACAGCTTAAGGTTTGTAAGTGATTCAGTTCTCAACTAAATGCCTTTATCAATGTGTCTGTATGTTCACTTTCTGCCCTAATGTTTAAGTGCAACTTCCCACTGATGCTTCCTGAAAATGGTAGGTTTGAATCTATGAACTGTGTGAGCTCATTAAAACATATTTTTGACTGCACTAGATGGTGGTCATGATACAAGATAACATTAATGGTGAATCTAAAATTCAAAGTAACATCAAGATTAACTTAGCCAGCAGTCCTCAAAAAGAAGAAAATACTGTTATTATTGGAGAGAGAACAGCAAAGGAATTGTGATTTGTTCAGGGGTAGTTGGGTGTGCACAATCCATGCCCATGGAGGAGATGGACTCGAGTCCCTAATCTCACGTAGAATTCTTGCAAACATGAGTATGCTGGGTCCTCTTTTGAAGGTCTGTCCTGCTTAGATTTTCCTAGTATAAATTGTCAGAAATCTTCTGAACTGCATCACCAAAATGACTTTAATTGCACTTTTTCCCACTTCGATATCTCTTATTTCTTTCATTGTTCCCATGAAGCTGGTAAAAGGCTCCTCTGTCCCTGAAACTGAAATTGTGCATGTTTTTCTTAACATGTTGGGACTTAAGTGCCCTGTTTTCTTCAAATAACAGCATATTTGAAGAAGACACCATTGTATAATTGTTGTAATTCATAGATACATTGATTAGCTTGGATAGGCTAGACCTTACCTTTATGTTGTCTTGCCCTGGATTAGTTTTTGTATGCATATTCTGCAGAAACTGGTGAGGTGCAAGGCTTGTGCAGATGCTGGTTTGCTGGATGAAAACTTTCTCAGGAGATGCCTGAATTTCTATGGCATGGTGATTCAGCTGATGCTTCGCATTCTTGACCCTGCCTATCCCAAGTGAGTGTCAGGATTGTCTTGTGTAAATTGTATCAAAGATATTTCAGATCATGTTAGATTGTTTACTGAATATAGCAGATCTAGAATTTTAATTGTTTGGCTTTTTTACAGTGTCTGCATTCTTATGTGATGGTTACTTTGCCAGTGACATACATACATTCTTGTATGGAATATTTATATATTACTTATAGTTTGAGGTTCAGTTGGGGTGGGGAGCAACCCTCAGGTATGTTTAGTACATTTTAAGTACTAACAGATTTTTAAAAAGTCAGTGTCAGAACTTTACAAGTAAAGTGTTCCATAGGAGAATTTCATAGGAGAACTCATGACACTTTCTACTTCCTACGCTGCTATTTCACTGTCCTGTTTGTTCTTTCATTCTACAGCATAAAATTGCCTTTAACTCCAGAAGTTCCGAAGGTATTTGCAGCATTGCCAGAGTTTTACGTGGAAGATGTCGCTGAATTCTTATTTTTTATTGTACAGTAAGTAAAGTTATAGCTAAAGGAAATTTGTACTACCCTTTATCCCTGTAACAAGTGGTATGCACATAAATTTAGGGTGCAAAGAATTTTTTTTATGGTTTGGAGTGAGACCTTCTGATCTCATGTGTTAAATAATCACTAGAATAGTATTTTTAAATAGTCATAGCTTAATAAATAGAAAATTTCCCACTTAGATATTTGTTGGGATGAAATGCATTTGTATAGGTTTAGCAGTTTAAGTGGGCAAGAATACTATTCAGATGTAATCCTGGAGTTCTGAAGCTGGTAGCTTTCTTCATAGGAAACTTGATTTTATGTGCAAGAAAAGAATATGATAGTGTTTCAGGCTAAAATTCAGTTTCCAGTGGACAGCTGGCAAGACCTTTTGGAAGAGTAAGAATCTAGTTTCTGTAGAGAAAGATGGGATATTATGATAAAATTACTGAACTCTTCCAGTTAATGAGTGATCTGAACTAACTTGATGTATGTGATAAATCTTCTGTAGACAATACAGGGTTTTTAATTTTGTTTTCCTTATCTCCTTCTTTTCAGATATGCTCCTCAGGTGCTTTATGAGCCCTGTACTCAGGACATAGTGATGTTCCTTGTTGTGATGCTGTGCAACCAGAACTACATCCGAAATCCTTATTTAGTAGCTAAGCTGGTAGAAGTGATGTTCATGACAAATCCAGCTGTTCAGCCCCGGACACAAAAGTTCTTTGAAATGATTGAGAATCATCCACTCTCCACTAAATTGTTAGTCCCCTCCTTGATGAAGTTTTACACAGGTAAGTATTTTGTCTGTAGTTCCCTGAGCGTACAGTAAGCAATGAGTATTATAAGGCAAAAGGCTGTGTTAGTTGTTGTAACCTTTAAAAAAAATCCCAAACAACCAACAAATCAGGTAGATCTTGGGTCTTTTAAAGATGAGGCTTTGTTGCTCAGGAATCGGGGGAAATAGCATTAGACGGAACCTTGAGAATTTTAGTCCTCCTACAAGCTGCTGTGCAGTGACAACTCTAGCACTGTAGGTTGCTGTGACAATTGGTTCTGTGTGTTTAGATTGCAAATTGGAAGTTTTTTGTTTGTTTTGTAAGAGAGTATTGGGATTTTACAACTTCCGATTGTGGTTTCGCTAGTCCTGTAGATTTGGATACTTCAGAAGAGCTTTGCACCCATAGAAACAAGTATTTTTTGAGTGTTCCCTGGGTTATCTCATTATTGAAATCTTAGACTGTGGGATGAAGAGCAGAGTGGAGTTGAATAGAACAGAAGGTTTTGTTTTCTGAGGGTTTTTCTTTGGAAATGAGGTTGGTTCTAGACTAGAAAACAGAGGGTGCTGCTGCTTTTAATGGGAATTAAGATGGAGACTTCTGAATAGGAATTGAATTTTATCTCTTAATGCTTGAAGTTCATCACACTGGAGACAGTAGGGGAGAGATGTAGTGTGTTGCAGGTGAATCCTGGTGGGAAAGAGC